TGGAGTGCATGGGACCAACTTGCCATTTAGTAACTCAAAAATCGAACCAGCTAGGCCTACTTAAAGTTAATGCCTATTCACCTAACTGGTATTCTCGATTCAATGGCTAGTTAACTATTACTATAAAATCCAACCACTTGCCTCCAAATCTAATTGAATGTAATATCCCCTTTTATCCAATTCTAAATTGTCATTAAGGATATTATGATCATTAGATATTGTAGATACATAATTTAATGGTTTCTTTTTATTTTTTGCTTTCTATCTATACCAGCAGAATGTTCATTGATTAGCATTATTTCACAACGTGGTTTCCATATTTCTTCTAAAATTTCTTTTTGAAGTTCATTGACAAAATTAGTTATAATTTTTTTAGTGTGCATTCTATTATTGAGAAATTTATTGATTTGGTCAGATAAAATTTTTGGAACAATGCCATTGATTAAATCGATCACTGTTAAGATGCATTATTCTGATTGTTAAACCACAGGTGATCATGTTCCAAATCTTTTGATGACAATTTTTTTCCTTTATTCTTTTTTTGGACATTTTTTATAAGTTTGCTTTTTGCATTATATAATATTTCTTTAATTTTTTGTACATTTTGTGTACAGTTCCAAATATGTTCAAATGATTCAAGTTGGTTCTTACATAAAGGACACTTCCAATTGTTATATAGATCTGGTCTTCATTTTTTGATGTGTTCAACTGTTGGAAGTTCTTCAATTAATAACTTAATTTTTGAAATTTTCTTGTTTGAAGCAGTAAATGATGTTTCTGTTGATGTTTCAAAGGTGTTGAGAATTCCAAAAGTCAGTTCCCAATCTATTAAAGTTTGGTGATATTTTTTGTTTCTATATAAATTTAGCCAGGTTTCAAATCCCCCATTGTATGAAATATTTGTAATAAGGTGTCATAAATGTTGTTCTATGATAATATTATTCCATTTAGGTATATATCTTAATGATTGTAAAAATTCAGTTGTAATTGAAAAAGGAGGGAAATCATGTGTGTGTGCATTTTTGGCCAATGAATCTACCATTTCATTAAAATGATTTCCATTGTGTGCTTTGACCTTAATAAAGCTAATATCAATTTTTTTTATTTCTAAAATTTCATGAAGTATAATCCAAACAATGTGTTGTGTTGTTTAAAAATATTGCGAGGAGATGTAGAAGAAGTTGTAGAAGTTAATTGTTCATATTGATCAATAGTACATTTACTATCAGTATAAATTCTAATATTTGCATTTGGAGGAGAGACTAACAGTACTGCTACCACTGCTGTTAGTTCAGATCTTGCTGCTGAGGGCCAAGACCTTAAACTTGCAGTGAATTGTAATTGTGGTGCTATTTTGTGAATAAATAATAACGTGATTGATGCTCCGAACGAACATGCTGTATATATAATAATAAATGAATCGCGTGTTTTTATCATGAATTAGATTATTTTGTATAACGATAAATGATTTCGTGGCTTGAATGTGCTCACGTAACGTACGCATTCGTAAACTTGAATTTTATCTTGATTACTTGTAGATGGGACAGGGACGTCGTGGCTGAATGTAGAATGTAGAGTTCCATGTGCCGAAATGACCTGAGAGGAATGTCTCTACGTTGCTGTTACGAAAACAATCTTGGTACGGCTGTCCTATTTATATGTTTCGAATTTAATAAAATAGACTATTGTCTTGGCCCGAATAATGTCTTTTTTTTGCTCTTTGCGATGAATAAGACATAATTCAAACCCAACTTTGATGTTAAAATAAATGAATTTTTGATCTCGCGTAGCACGGCGTGCGTGTAAAAAGCAAAAGCCCTCAGTTGCAAGCTTATTATTATTTATTATTATAAACCGCAACTACTTTATTGTCCGTAGTTACACAATAATTTATAAATAGTAATAGAGAAAGACGTTTTTTAAACAATAAAAAAATCTTTAAACTATTTAACAACATGAATAAATTTAAAGAACCATTAAAAGTTTTTTCTTTACCGGAAGAAATGTTACAAGACATTACTTTTAAAAATACTTCAATTAACCTAAAATCAGAAAAAATTCTCCATGATAACTGCGATATTAATAAAGAAGTTCAAGAGCAATTAAGCAACACCAGCATTACCACCATCAACACCGCTACCGCAAAATCATTTTCATGTTTAGTATGTGGCATTACGGATTTTGAGGACGGTGAACAACAACGAACCCATTTCAAATTGGATTGGCATCGTTATAATGTTAAACGTCATGTTAAATATTTAGAAGCTGGTAAATTTAAAAATTATCAACCGATAAGTGAGCAGAACTTTGAAGAAATTATGAATGGTTAGTTAGAAGATCGATTATTTTATAATAGTAAAAATGCAATGCGGTAATGGAAATTGATTTTGGTATTTTTTAGACAGTATGTCAAGTATTTCAGGATCTGATACAGAATTGGAAGATGAAGAGGAAATAGATGAAGACAATGGCGCGATAACTCTTGTTGACAATGAATTAAAAAGAATGGAAAAAGAAGAAGAAAAAGAAGAACTTCGATTAAAGAAATCCGATAATAATAATAAGAATAATTCATTAATTTTATTTAGTTGTCCAAATTCATCGCCTAAACCAATCTGCTTTGGTATTTATAAAAATATTCTTCAGAATCGAGGTAAAACTCTTGAATTGATTAAAAATGACTTGTTAAAATTACAATTAAAAAAAAAAAATCAAAAACAACAAAAACAGAAACCACAAAAGCAACAATCACAACATAAAGAACCAAGATATTGGACAATGATTATGTTGATGGGCGGACATTTTGCAGGATCAATTTTAGATATCAATAGTATTCATAATACAAATTTTTCAAAATCAATAAAAGTTCATAAAACCTTTCATCGTTATACAAGTAAATAATATATATATATATTTTTAAAAAAAAAAATTTCAATTATTAAAATTAAATTATTATTTTATTATTCAATTTAATTAATAAAGCACGTAGAAAGCAAGGAGGAAGTCAATCAAGCAATGATAATTCAAAAGGAAAAGCAAAATCAGCAGGAGCAGATTTAAGAAGATATAATGAAATGGCATTATCTAAAGAGATAAGAGAATTGATCGAGGAATGGAGATTGATGATTGATCAGAGTGAATTGATATTTATGCATGCACCCGGAAGAAATAAAAAAATAATTTATGGGTATGAAAATGCGGTTTTAAAAAAAGATGATCCACGTATTTCCACGTTTCCGTTTTCTACAAGACGACCGGTTCGTACAATATTTTTATAAGATGTTTCTGAATATATTTATATGTATGTATATATATATATATATGGCTTTAAAAAAAATTTTTTAAAAAAATAATTTAGACATTCAAGGAATTGGAAAGAAGTTTTAATGAATTGATTACTGTAAAAATATTTGAACTGTCATTAACAACAGAAGAAGGTGATGAAGATGATAAAAATAAAGAGGATGATTTATTAAAAGATAAATCATCACAAGAACGGAAAGAGGACTTTGTGGAAGTTCAAAGACAAGAAGAAACGCAAGAAATACAAGATGAAGATGAAAATATTAAAATAATTCAGATTATAAAGAAAGGAAAACTAAATCAATTAATTAATCATCTATCAAAAACATCTAATCATAATACTCTTCTAGAACAATTTCCTATCAATAATAATAATAACATTATTGATACTAATAAAACACCTACATTACTTCATTTAGCATCATCGTTGGGACATTATGATATTGTGGAGTATTTATTGAAACAAGGAGCAAACCCGACACAAACATCCAAAATCAAAAATATGACAGCATATGAAATAGCAAAAGACAAAGAGACAAGGAATGTTTTCCGTAGATTTATGGCTGATGAACCTGATAAATACGATTGGAAATTAGCACGAGTTCCGAGTCCATTAACAAAAGAAATGGAAGGTGAACAACGTAAAAAAACGAAGGGAAAAAAGAAAAAGAAAAAGCCTTTAAAGAGTGATGGTGGTGGTGGTGGTGGTGGTGGTGATGGCGGTGGTGGCAATAATCATGATAGCCTTGATAATGATTCATCAACAATAATATCTAGTAAGAAATCGGATAAAGGTTATAAAGTTGGTACTAAAGCTACTACTACTGAATCGTCATCGTCTGAAGTATATTTAATTGGATTAACACCTGAAGAACGTTTAAATATCGAAAGAGAGAAAAGGGCAAGAGCAGCTGAAGAAAGATTATTAAAATTATCAAATAGAGGAGTTACAACTAACATTAATAATAATAATATTTGTAAAATGTGCAGAAAATCTTTGTCAGGATTAATTCCATTTGATAAATTTAATTTAAAATTTTGTAGTACTCAATGCGTCAGGGATTTTAATAAATAGAGCTCTTAAATTATGATTATTAAAATTATTAAATTATTGATTTTGGATTATTTATTTTACTATTTTAATACTATTAATATTAATTTTTTTAAAAAAATATCAACTTTTGAGAAAATCTGTTACGATATTTGCAAACTCCAAAGGTTTCTCAGCATGAACTAAATTATCATTAAAAAAATATTATTTTAAAAAATTATTAATTAAAACTTGTAAATTTTCATCAATTAATTATTAATTTTTACCCCAATGGCCAGCATCTACTTCAGCAATTATTGAATTAGGAAAAAAAGTTTCAATAGTTGGATAAATCTTTATTATAACAATAAAAACAATATTAGATGTAGATCACATTAATAATGATAAATATAATATTTAATATTTACTTTTAATGGTATATAATTGGAATTTTTTCCTCGAATGAATAATGATTTTTTATGAAAAGTGTGATGAGCATGATTAAATGGAAAATCTCCTAATGTTACCAAAGAATCATCCAAAATATTTAAAGGAATACGAAATTTATATAATCCGGTATCTGGATCTTTTTTCAAATTGGTTAATAAGAAATGCCTAATAGATGGATTCTAAAGAAATTATTATTATTAATTAATGATTATTTTAATCATTTAACATGTTTATTTGATAAAAAGAATTAAATTGATAATTACGGAAATGTAGTCTTGCATGATTTCATCAGCTTTACTTTGTTTAATCACACCAACATTTTCAACTTTTTTCATAGTATCGATATAAAAAGCAAATTCATCCGATATTCGAACATTAGTAGGTGAAGCATCAACAACAATAAGCCTTTCAACTTGTGGAACTTGTCTGAGTGCCATTGCCATTGCAACTTTGCCTCCCCTATATATATGTGAATATTTGAATTAAAAAAAACATTAATTATGACATTATAATTATTATTCCTTCATATGTTATTAATAATAATTAGGTTAAATATACTTTTAGAAAAGAAGATTAATTAACTTTTTTAAACTATAGTATATATAGCATTCATTCATACATAGAATGTCCCATTATAATAGCTTGGTTTAATTTATGATCAGTGATAAATTTTGCTACATCATCCGACATTATTTCATAATTAACAATCGATGAATGTGGACTATCTCCATGGTTTCTTAAATCCTTAAAGATAAAGAACAACAATATTATTATTATTAGATGAATGTATTTATATACAAATCAAAGTATATGCATGTAAGTAATGTTTAATTTACTAAGGCGTAAACACTAGTATTTAAACTCTGAGCAAACATTTTTGCTAAAGATTTCCAATTTTGTTTTGATCCAAATAATCCATGAAGAATCAAAAGTGGTGGAATTAAATTTATTGATTTATTTGATAATGGATCATATTTACTAAATGATAGTGTAACAGGCTCGGATGAAGATTTTTTTGAAGAATAATATCTTTTTTTAAATGATTTATAATGATGATAGTTAAAAAACCATTTTGTTGTTAACTTTGTTTTTATAATGGTATTTGCGCTTACAGTAAAAATCATTCTTACAAATCTACAAAAATTTTAAAAATTTTTTGTATCCATATGGTCCATTGAGACCAATGAACTTTGGTATGGTCCATCCATTGCCATTAATAAAATATATACTAAAGATGGTTAAAATGTTACACCAATAAATCATCAATGGACCAGTACCATGGACAAATCCTAGGGTGCTATGGTCAGCCAACAAGGACAAAAGTTTAAGGCTGAATCTCAAGCAAAAAAAATTTACATTTTTTTGATATCAATATTTTTTGTGCAGCTTAAGAATATCCTCAAGTGCTTTGGGTTTTATCTTCAAGCACATGGGTTTTATCCTCAAGTGACTTGGGTACAAATTTCTCACATGAGTAATTTATAAAAGGAAAGTCTTGTACGCTTGAAGATGTCAGAAAAATTGCTAATAACTCCAAGTTATTAACCACTTATTAACTGTTGAGAATTATTAATCCAAAAGATCCATTTTGTCAATCAATCCCAGTGTATAGAATTCAGTGTGCGGACACTGAATTTTATGCACTGTCATCACTTAAACTAAATTAATTATTAACTTGTTTATCAAATTAATATTTGATTCAAATAATTTTTGCTACCAATAAGAGATCTGCACGTTTGTGTTTTTAACACTTAATAAGTCACCAATAGAGTTATTAAGTACTTAATAACTCGGTCATTTTTCAAAATAATTTTTATGCCCATTACTAGACATACTATTTTTTAAATCTGCTCTATGGTGCCAAATAAAGAAATTGATTTTTAAAATCAAACTTTGTTGTTTTGATTTTTTTTGATAATAAATAAAAATGTTACATTATATTACTCATCAACCACCTTGAAAATTAGCTAAATTAAAAGAATTGAAAGTTTAGTAGAAATTACAGTAGAAGGCGTAGGGTTTTGTTTCCTTTTTTATTCTCGATCTTTTCTAATTGGCCCTGATTATGGAAAATTCTTCTCCAATTCACCATCACCCACCACCGCCACATCCTCCTTTTCTTCTTCTTCGCCATCCTCACCATCCTCGTCATCCTCGTCATCAACCTCATCATCATCATCATCATCATCAGTAACCTCTTCTCCTAAACTGATCAATCTAGTTTTATATTTCTTTATAGTAGCGTCTTGATCAGCCAAACATACCAATAAATCATCTTGCTCTTTCGAAAGTTTTTGATGTTTTTCCTTTTCCTTTTCTTTTTCACTTTTCAATAAATCAATTTGTGTTTTCAACAACGAAACCTCCTCATTTGATTTTGTCTATTAAAAATTAATTTTGATTACCATATTGGTAACACGTTATTCTTATTTTTTTGAAAACCGAGGTATTTACCTGAATTTCCAGTTTTTCTTCAAATTGTTTTATTAAATTTTTTAATTGAGTAATTTCTTGTTCTTGAGCTTTAATTACTTCTTTTAAACTGGAAAACATTGATGCTGAATCCAGATCATTTTGTAAATCTTAAATAATATTAATAATGATATTGTTATTATTATTATTACTGTCCTGTCTTATTTATCAATATATCAATGATAAAATTTATTAAATAATTAGTTAGCTAACCTTTGTTATTTGATGAATATTGAGGTGCATTAGGATCAGATTTTACAGATCTTTGAATCGATTCTTTATTTATATTATTATTATATTTATTGTTATTATTATAAAAATAATTTGGTAATAATAATAATAATTATAGTAATAATAAAATAATTTACCATAATTATCTTTTAAAAACTCAACAAATGTATAATCAAAATACAAATTAGGTAATCCTTTCGCACCTTCTTCCAAAAAAACCTATAAAATTATGAAAATAAATGGAGAAATTAATGAATTTATAAATATATCGAAAAATCAAAATTCTATAATGATAATGATGGTGATAGTAAGTAGTACCTGCAAGTACTGTGAAGCGTGCTTAAAATGCGGTGATTCTCTTAATCTTGTAATACGGTTAATAAATTGATCAACTCCAATACGGTTATGTAATATTGGCTGTAGTGTCGATCTATAATTTGCGCACACATATAAATATATATTTAGTATTAAAATAAATTTTTATATCAATAGGATGTTGCTTTTATATTTGTTTGTTACCTTGAAATTAGAGAATCGGAAATATGATTAAAGTGATAACATATTCCTAACAAAAATGCGCATAAACCTTGTACTCTGGCATCAACACTAGAAGATTGTGTTATAGGTGTTATAAGCTATCATAAAGTATAGATATTATGATATAATTAAGGATTTCTAAATATATTTCTAAAAATATGTATTATATATAGAATACAAATGTCTTAATAAAAAAGATACAGTTTGTAGATGGGCAGAGTCCGATAAGAATTGTTTTACACATTGTGGACTATCCCACAACCAAACACACAATAAACAAAGATATCCGATCAACACTCTTACATCTGCGTTTTGTCTAGTTGCCATCATTAAATTTTTTGCAATGGAATTTAATAGTGTTACATGTTTCTCATTGCTACCACCATCTCCATAGCCGTCATTATTAATAACCCCATTGTTACCATTTCCACTGTTATAATTGTTACCATTAGTGTTATCACTAACATTACCATCAACCAGTCCACTATTAAATACTGTTCCATTACCATTACCAACATCATTATTAACGTCCTGGTTATCTTCAACGATTAACTTACGAGCAATTTCTTTAGCTCGTTCGTTATCTTTAAGAATATGTGATAGGATAACTGACGCAAACCAAACAACATACGGATCTGCCTCAGAATCCTCCCATTCTAAAAGAGCTGAAAGTAGAAGTGAACCAGCAGATTGTGGTTTTACTTTGAATAATAGACAAGGTAAAAAAAAAATATTATTAAGAATCTTTATTTTTTTATTTTTATTTTTTTATATAAGCATAAAATAAAAAATTAACCTGAAATTATTTCTGAATTAGGATTGTCATCAGGCGGCGGAGTTAAAGTTGATGCCAGTACCAATTGAGCACTAATATTGTTATAAGTATATGCCTAATTAATTAGTTGGATAATAGACCATTTAGATAATTTATTTATCATATTTTTGAAATTAATATACTAACATATTATTTAAATGGTAGAATTATTATTTATTAAAAAATATTACCTCGAAAGCATAAGTAGCAGCAGCACGAGTTTGATAACTTTCAACATATTCAGCACCAACAGCCACAGAAATTAGAGCTAAAACAGCAGGACGAGGTGGAAGATTGGGTAAAGGATCGTTGAATGAGGATCTACTGCCATCGTCGCCATAAGAATAAGATTGATGATCAAATGAATTACTGTTTCCAGTAGCAGTGTTCTGAGTGGTGATGGTTGAAGACGACAATGTTGATAAAGATGATGTCGAAAGGGAAGGTAAAGCTGGTATTTTTGTAATGATAACAGATTTTGATAATAATTCTTGACTTATTTGATTTCCGTGCACAAGATCTGCTAAAGTATAAAGAGACTATTGAATTTTATTATAATTTTTTTTCTTTTAGGTTTATATAATTTTTTAAAAAATGGTATATATTCTCTCTATTTTGTTTGTTTGTTTATTTATTTATATATTATTATTATTATTATTTGTGATTTTTTTCCGTCATATAAATAATAATAATAATTAAACTGAAAATCAAATTTTTATCGAGTAAATTACTTACATGAGTTTTAACTGCAGACGGAGCATTTGATGATAATGCTAATTCAATCACTGGTTTAAATACACCACATTGTATCATAACTTTCTATGTAATATTAATATTAGGTATTATTTAATTTAGTTATTTTATTAAAATAAATTTTGAATAATTAATTATATTCAGTAATTATTACCTGATTAGTTAAAGTATTCATATTATTTGGCACTACCAACATTCTCATTAATTCCAGTAATACAATGGTATTTATAATTTTTTGCTCGTTCCAGTCTTGAATCAGATAATCAATTTCAGTTGGTTTTGAACTATTGTGATACTGATTGTCAAAATTCAAAAACGAAGTAATTCGTTGTATACAACTTGTCTCTCTAAAAAAGTTCTAATGATAATGATGATTTAGCTGCGATTCGTGACCAATTTAAGTACAAACATAATTATTGAATAGTATATATACCTGATTTGACACATTGTATCTTAATAAGTTTATGATCAATTGCATACAGTCCTGAACTATTATTCCGCCATTTAATCCATCCTCTTCCACAATAATCTCTATAAGCCTTTCAAATGCATTTTCAAATGCAACAATTTTTTGAATTTCAGCATTATTTTCAGTGAGTGATGTCAACAAAAGTAATCCCTCTTTTAAACCAAAAGACCATTAATTAGCCAATTAATTTATTTTATTTTATTTAAAAAAGATTCTATATATACCATTTCTAATAATCTCTCTTTTATCATCCAATAAATCCATTAAACGTGAAATCCCCATTGGTGCGCCTAATATATAATCTTGTAGATTATCAGATCTAATTGCTAGCAAAGTTCTTAATAATTGAACATTGTTAAACCTAACGTAGAAATCATATTCTTGTAAAATTTCCAAGAATAACATAATATTAGATGAATCCTAAAAAACGAAAAAATTATATAAGAAAAATAATTGTCAATTAATCAATTAATTATAAAAATAATAACATAATAATTGCTTTAGACTCATGTTCATTCACTCACCTTGATAATCTCATCAATGAACCTCACACTAATATCTGACATATCCTGCAGAAAAAAAAAGATATGTTGTTTCTAAAAAAAAAGGTCCCAATTATAAAAGTGTAATGAATGATCATAATTATATTTATAATTACTTCTTGATCATCAGGAGTACATAATATTTTAAGTATCTCAAGAATTGCTTTTGATGTATCTATATCAGCTCTATCTTCATTTAAAATTTTCAATAAAGCATAAAGACTTTTTTCGCCAACTTCCTACATAAATATATTTAAATTTGCACATCTTAATATTTAACAGCAATTTATTGGATTATTGTATAAAAGTATAGAAATGATAATTCCTACTTTTCTATATTCTCTTGAAAGACCCTTTAAACCCAAAATAGCAGCCCTTCGATCTTCTAACAAAGTTGAGTTATTTGCTCTATCGACAAGTTTTACAATTGTGTCATCTACTGACTGTGGTTGGCCTTTTTCACCTAATAAGCCCTTATAACCTCTACTCAAAAATTCCATTTCGATTTTTTAATTTTTTATGAAAACCTAGCAATTTGCTATTTGTCGAAACTGTGAAACAGGAAAATTTGAATTATTTCTGATCATGTGATTAATGAATTTTACTATATACATCATCATTCTTGATGTTTTTATTATTTTAATAAATCAATAAAGTCACCCTCCCCGATTGATTAAAGCGTTTAAATGATCCCCAACATCTTGGATAAAATATATATTTTTTGAATATCTTGATTTAAAGTTGTCAAATATATATTCCCAACCTTTAATTTAATATATTGTAACTTATCGAAATAATCATTTATCTAATTCGTTATTGTAAAAGACGGATAACTTTTCGAGATTTTGACAATATTGACTAATTGATTGAGCGAAATAATTCTCCTAAATAATCATTATTAAAATGTAAGAATTTCAAGTTCTTTCCATTGACTTTAATAAGATCAGACAAGTCTGATAGAAATGACTGACAAATAATATACAAATCTACTGTTTCAATATTCGGAAATGAAATAGGTTTGATAGATTTTTAAGACTTTTTATTTTGTGATCAACTAATTTTTACAAATATGCATCCATTTTGTTAAATTTGTTTTTTTACAAGCTGGCTAAGAAATTAAATTGGACTACTTTCATGACTTGGGTGAAAGAAATAGTTGAAAAAGACTTTAAAAAATTAAATCATATCGGTGATTTTTTGATACCGTAGTAAATAATGTAAGTAAATTAGATTTCCATTGAATAAAGAAGCATATCTAATAAATAACATATTGTGAATTCGATTTTAGTCATTATAACAAATATCACAGAATGATACACCACCATCGCCATACACCATAAGTGATGGATGGGTTAGATTACTTCCCCATGTAAAAAAAATTATAAAGCGAAAATTAGGATTAGTGGTAAAATTAATTATTGAGATTTATTTTATAATTTGGAAATATTTAAATTCGCTGTTGATCTTAATCTATTATTTTTGAGTAATGATACTAATTACAGTCAGTATAATATACATATATTTCAGTTCCATATTGGTGCCATTTTAAAAGAAAACTTTAAATAAGGTGGGAGCAAAAACTGTGTATATACGACTGCCATAATAGAACATCTTGTTGCTGGAGTGCTTGAATCAGCAGGAAATGTATCTGTTGTATGTGAAAATTGATCAAATATGGAAGATGTTTGGGTGCGAAGTTCCTTTTGATTGGCTAATTTTAATTTTCATGTATGGTTGTGAATTTCACAACATTTAAAGTGAAAGTGAAACATACATATTACACCAAGCACTTACAACTTGCTGTTCTTAGTGACAAAGAATCAGACGCTTATTAAAGTCACAATTAGATCCATGTATCTTGATTCAATCGATAATAATGTGTTTGGGATCTTTTAATTTAATATATATAGCATATTAATATTCATCAATTCAACAAATCAAATCATCAACCAATTCATTTATTAATAAATAAATAAAAAAAATACCTTGAATCAATATTCTAATCTACGTGTTTTGGGAACTTTTGATTATAGTTTCTATTATATATTAATATAGGTATATTTTTGGAAAAAATTTTCTTTTTGTAATATTTATAAAAACTTGCTTATTTATGGCAGGAATATTTACTTATATTTCCACTAGGCTCGTAATTTTTTAACTTAATGTTGGATATAAATAAAAGATAATTTGGATCAATCAAATAATTTACTGGAAAAATAACATACTTTCTATGAATTCACTAAAATCGGTTGTTTTTATTTCTTCTTTGTAAATAAATTTCAATTGATGAAAACTTCTCAGATGGTACTAAGTAGGGTTTCTATTCAAATTATAATTAACTAGAAATAGGATGGTAAATATTGGCATCTTCAATATTTACTAATGGGCTTTTAGACTATATGATAAAAATATTAAGAATATTATTAGATTCCATGCAATTTCTTTATTGTATATTTTAAATATAATTAATTATATGTCTTAAACATGAATCGGCTATTTAATCATTTCCTTGTATGTGAATGTCTCCATCCATCAAATATTCATGATGGTTATGTTTATTATGCAATACATTTGATATCATAATTGACATACACCTACACGAATAGTATGACCACTCATTGATCTAATATTTTGAGCACTCGAAATATCCCATATTTGAATATCACCATCATCAATCCCACAGCAAAATAATCACCATCTTCAGACCAGAAAAGACTACTAATACCACTTCTAGTAAAAGCAAGTGTCTTCACCTCCTCAGTTCTTGCATTCCACAAATGAACACTTTTTATCTAATCCAATTTCCACCATATTTTTATTACTCCAACCCAATAAATTTAAATAATAGTCATCAAACATTCCCGAGGAATCAAGTGTCAATTCAAGGCTTGTTGGTATTATATGTGATGATTTTGATTGACAATTGTAAATTTGATTTAATAGATCAATTTTTTGATAATGATCATTAGTTTGATGATTGATGTTGGTGTTGTTAAGGTTGTGGGCAAAACTCCTCCAGAAATCAATCAACAGAGTTTCAAAAGGTTACACATTAATTGTTAATTAGAGTTTCGGCAGAGTTTCACATTTGGAGGTTTGGTCAATCGTCAGAGTTTTGACAAGGTATATACTAATTGTTCATTAGAGTTTCGACAGAGTTTCAACAGTCACTAAGAGGTTTTGGCAAGCAACGTTAGGTGTTGTTCAACCTTAAACTCCAATATACACTTCTCAATTGCCAATCCACATGCACATGCCAATTCCTTTTGATATTTTTGTTCAGAACTATTCAAATAAATTAGATCCTTTCCAGTCTTGATATTTTTGTGCAGGAATTGTTGATCATTCATATTTTTTGAAATAAATCTAAATAAAATATTTCTCCATATCTAATTCAAATATCATCAAAAACAAATATAAATATATATATATACACCCCTGAGATTTAGCTTTCCTTTTTCTGGGAGACAAATCACCAAACCAATCTTTTGTTCTTTTGATGTTTTAAAATAATTATGTAAAATTTAATAATGTGTGTCATGATATTCTAAACGAGTGACGACGAATGGCAATAACCACCACCAATCTTATGATAAACACTACCCTTTGATAGCACCAAAGGTATCTTCTTTATTTCTTTTTCTTTTTTTATCATCTGAGATTGAAGACATTTTTATTTTTTTATTTTTTTAATTTAAAAATAATTATTATTGGCACTTGGTGTTGTACAACTTTTTTTTTTGACGCGAATTGATTTTTTTTTTTAAAAAAAAATGACTAACCAGAGGCACTTTTTTTTAAACTTGCATTGATATGACATCATTGAAATCAAAACGCGGAGAGATCTTGTTGGGTAATTATAAGATTCTCATCAAGATAATTGGTGTTTTGCTTTTCGTAATCAATAATAATATTAATATTAAATAATAATAAATAATTACAAGAAAATTCCAAGGCAGCATTGACTATTGAAAAATAAACATTCGAATATGCAATGTTTGATTATCAGAAATTAGCAGATGTTAAAGCACGCACACTACCTTGAATGTTACAGTCATTCTCACATATTCCTCATGTACACAAGGCTGAATCTGACTCGTGCCTGACGATACAATGATGCAACTGAATTCCAGGGAGGAGGAAAGATGTCATGGAATGCATCAAGACTGCATCAATTGTCAATGACACTTTCACTAGTCTTTACAGCACCCATGCCAGAGAAGACTGCTGGCGTGTTAGCCGAAAAGTTGCCTGCAACGGGTCCTACCTCTAGGGTAAGGGTAGTTCTGTGACCAAGTCGCACCTCCGCAGATGAATTATAGCGCCATGTAAACATCCAGATCCGGCAAAGCAACGAGAATCTGCAACTCGTTTCAACAAGAGGTCCCAATTCAGAGTGGGGTTGGTGACCCTATAATTGCATTTGGGCTCTGATGTTAGGATTTGACCAATTGAATTTGATATTTTTTAAATGGGGGCTCTTGTCCATATAATCCACCCTAGGTATTTTACAAGTACAAGGTGGCAATTTGATTCTGCCCACTATTATTGTGATAGTCATCATGAACACTGACATCAAATGAAAGCTGTAAAATAAAATGGTTCAGATTTTGTTTGGTATGTTATGTATAAATTAATCATTTCATAAATTTTCTGTCTCTTTAATTTTTATTTGATCAATTGAATTCGTTTTTTAAATGGGGTAAGGTTATTGGCGAGACCAACAAGACAGCAACCCAGGACTCAAAACTCTGAATAAATAAATAATAAAATTGCATGACACGTTTCATTTATTATATTAATTGTTGTTTTTTAAATAATAATAACATAAGGTTAGGTAAGTTATCAAAAAGGACAAGATAAAGAATTCAAAGAAAAATCATTCCATCATTCAATTCTAGAATTATAGTTGGCTGGATTTAATATTGAATGTCAAAGTTTTTCTTAAAAAATTTATTTTTATACATAAAAAAGAAAAATATCTATTTTAATTTTTATAAAAATAAAGTATATAAATATGTACATGTGTATTAATTGACCCACAATGTATTGGCATAATCATTATTATATGTATTGGCGAATTCGGCAGCTTGCAATGCTTGAATATCCAATGTATTAACATTAGCAGCTTGGTTAGTGGCAGTTGTTTCAGACATACCGTTCATAAAAATAACGGGTTTCCAATCATCACCCTTTAGGAATGAACGTTTATTATATAAGAAATTTTTTGCAGCTTCGTTGTCATAAGTGTTTGCGTATTCGGCGGCATGTAAGGCTTGAACGTTGAGCGAGTTGGTATTGTAGGCTTGATTCGATGATGTTTTTTCATTTGCATCACTCATAAGAATCACGGGTTTCCAATAATCACCCTTTAGGAATGAACGTTTATTATATAAGAAAGTTTTTGCAGCTTCGTTGTCATAAGTGTTTGCGTATTCGGCGGCTTGTAATGCTTGAACATCGAGCGAGTTGGTATTGTAGGCTTGATTCGATGATGTTTTTTCATTTGCATCATTCATAAGAATCACGGGTTTCCAATAATCACCCTTTAGGAATGAGCGTTTATTATATAAGAAAGTTGTAAGTCCTTCGTTGTCAAAAGTGTTTGCGTATTCAGCAGTTTGTAAAGCTTGAACATCGAGCGAGTTGATATCGGAAGCTTGATTTGTTGCAGTATTTTCATTTTCTCCATTCATAAGAATCACAGGTTTCCAGCCACCGCCACCATTTAGGAATGAACGTTTTGCTTCAAATGGACCTGAATCAGACGAAATAATGCGAGAAAATGAAATTGGGTTACAAGAAACTCCAAGTAAGGAAATCGCAAAAATGAAAATTGTAAAAGAGGAGGTTAATTTTTTTGCCATTTTGATTTTATTTTATTTTTTTAATAAATGTGTAAATTATTTAAATAATTAAATTAAAATAATATTATATTATTTTTTTATTTTAGAAAAAAAAAAGTAAAGAATGAATGTTATAGTCATATATATATATATGTATATATATATGTGACAGAATTCTTAATGCTCTAAGCGTGTGAAGAAAAAAAAAAAATCAAAATCAAAAAAAGATACCACCATGAAAAAAAAATGCCATTAAATTTTATGCAAATCTTTTTTAACTAATATAATTATTATAAACCAAAAAAAAAAAGATTTAAAACATAAATATGCATATTGTGAATATAATATTAAAGGCATGGTGTGATCACATTGATTGTTTAATGCAACAAACGCGTCGAGGTTTTTTTTCTGATATGATTTAAATCAGAAATCTCTTTTAATTAAATATAATAAATAAATAATAAATAATAAATAATAAATAAATATATATATATAATAAATCAATATATATATATATACATATTTTCTAATTTTATTTTCGTTACTTCATTAATTAATCATTATCATTAAATTTTTTATATTATATATAGAATTTTTATATTTTTTAAACAGTTTTACGACTTAAATCACCAAGTGGTAGGCCTATTGGTGAAAGGTCTGGTGTCAATAATACGGCAGCTGTACAATACCATACTATGCACGATGTGATAACTATATATATTTTAAAAAAAAATTTTTAATCAATAATTAAAAAAATTTTACGAAAAAAAAAAAAAAGAAAAAAAAAAGAAAATGACGCAAAAAATACATACGTCCAAGAATACCGCCGACTTTTATAATGGAATTATTAAGTGTGAAATGACCAATTGACAATGCCAAGAAAGTAAATGTTAAAAAGATGAAAGCTGATAAAACTCCGACACTTGTACGCATGCAAGCTAATGTGAAAATGAATGTGACTGAAAAAATAATAATAATAATAAAATCATTATTATTATTCAAATCAGAGTTATTATTAGTTACAATTTGCATAATATGTAATATATATAATACTTACATATGAGCCAGGCGACACAGTATAATCCTAATGCATTATTGTACACCGAATCAGTGCTAGGGTCCCAATGTAAGGTTGAATTGTTAGGGTCTACAATGTTATTGACTGAATAAAAATGATTCTCAAAAGCTTTTTCAATTCCCTAGGAAAAAAATAAACAAGTAAGTAAATAAATGAATTTATTAGAATCCATATGATTTTCTTCATCATAAATACTTACAAATGATGGGATATAAAGAGCACCAAAGGAAGTCCAGAAACCACCAAAAGCAGAAAATCCTGTACCACCAAAGGTGTTTCCAACTCTGAATTCCCACATGCCAGCAGCAAACTATTTTGCAATTTAAAATTAATTAATTAATTAAAAATTACTATTTATGGTAACAGACTAAAAAGGTTATTTTGCATACTTGTACTACACCACCGGTGAACATAGAAACACCAACTACAACATTTGGTACAACGACACCAAGTGATTGCATATTATAAAAGGACACGACCATAACCGATAATGCGAAAGCAGAAAGACCAAGTGGAGTTGGATTACCAAGTTTTGGAGCATGACGTCTTACAACAGTATGACTACGAGGTATAGGTTTTCCTGGTTTACTGGAGATATGATCTGATATGTAATGTTCTTCAGGCATTTTGAATTGCGTGTGTGTGCGTGTGCGTTATATATATGTTATTGAATGCTTTCTCTCTTAACCTTTCTTTGTTATTTAAAAATGGAATGAAAGAGATGAATGTTTAAAGAAACGATTAAATTGTTATAATCTAGCCAAGATGAAAAAAAAGAAAGAGAGAAAGCAATCAACTTTTATTTAAGGAAAAAAAAGAAGATTATTATTTATTATTATTGTTTTTTATTATAATAAAGGAATTTTTGTTTTAGAAATCATTTTCGAGTCTTTATATACAAACGAAAATATTGAGAATCATCTGTTTGGATAATTTAAATCGTCATAACTAATTAAATCAATCATTATGAAGCAACATTTTCATTTTTTTAATTAATTATAGAACACCTGTGTATCTATTGTTCATGTATGGGGAATGTAGATCTTAAATACTTAAACATATAACCCGAGTGTAGTGATGAATATGTATGAAAGAGTATGATTACTGATCGATCATCCATCCACAAATTTTTATTTTACATTTTTGGGAATTACCCCTCCTTTTAATTCAAAAGTAAAAATATTCCCAATGGATCCAAAACTGTCAAGACAATTGTAAAAGATGAGATAGATAACATATGCCGCAAAACAATTACTCTCATTTAACGAATGAGGCTCTAATATCCGTTAGATGAACATTCATTCTATTGATAGATTTGGTTGGTTATTTGAACTGGAAATTTACACGAATCATTGAATTTCAATGGTTTTTTAGGTTTATGTTTTATGATGATGATAAGCCCGAATCGAATGTTTCCGTTAATACTGAATTAAATAATGGTTGGTATGATCTGTCTGTTTTGATGAATTTATTTATTTATTTATTTTGTTGCTTGCTTAACAATAAGAAAAAGAAACATAAACTGGTAGAAAAAAATACTATTGATGATGAAATTTTCTCGTGCTCGTTAATGAAGTTTAATTATAAAAGAAGTTGTGTCGTTGCCTTGCACCATTAACAAAAATTTGAGTTGCAAATTGCATACTATAATGTTTATGAGAATTCTTTTGGCAAACTAAACATATTCAAGATGTCGGGCATCTTGTCTTGCCGCAGTGGATTTTTAATTAAATTCGCAATATTGCCGATTTTAAAAAATCCGTTTTATTATGGCGCGATTGGCTGGCATAAATGAATTCTTTTTTATGTGTCCTGCGCATCCACCATGACAAGGCTAGCTATGTATAAAATTCAATGTGCGGGTGTAACATCATACATTAGTAGTTTTCTGCAGATAGTTTCTAAATTTGTAGAAATACACACTGAAATTTAAACATTAGTGTCAATTCACATGTTCTTCTACAGTGCAGGACATCTATAATGGTCAATAGTCCGAAACTTAAAATTTTAGAAGATCTTTCTAATTTAAGTAATCATATTCCTTTTATTGGAAAGATTGTCTGTATCACGGAAAATTTTTAAGCCGATCATCAACCTTTTAGGAAACCACAAGGGAATATCATTCCGAAATTTTACAATTTACATATAGACATATATAAAATGTTCTAACTTTCAAGCCTTATAACTCAAAACTTTTCTAATAAAATGAAAAAGTAAACCGATGGAAATGAAGCTTAGGTCTTTAGCTTTAATTTTATCGGTTTATTTTTTTTTTTAATTTTTTTAATAAGGAGTTATAAGCTTTTAAAATCATGTGATAATCATTGACCGTTACAGATGTCCTGCACTATATTACTAATGAATTTCCTTTTTTAGGTAAAAAAATTAAAACTATTCTGGTCCACGCTTTTCAATTTTCAGATATTTGTTACCTGGATCAACATTCAGCTGAAAAATCGCACATCAGACTCGGTTGGAGAACACGAATAATAATGAAATAATTCTAATAATAGATCCTAGTAAATCAAAAAAAAGGAGAACTACAACTATTGAAGAAAAACTATATTTTTGCTCCTCTCATCTTGATGGACAGAAGCCCAAATTGTTGAATTGGTGGGTCAATTAGGTTGGGAATAACAAATTATCAATAAAGTAACGATGGGCAATAGAAGAAATATAAAAAAAAAATTGTTTTAGTGCTATTTAATATTTTTTTTTATTTTTTTTTTTAATACTAAAATATAATAATAATAATGGATCATAGTTTCTACTTCTTTATTATGTATCTCTAAAGAAACCATCATTTTCTGCGCCATCGGCCAATATCATTTTTATATGATGCGTGGCACCTATGTTCTAAATTTTCATATGACTGTCCAAATTTTTAAATGATGATTTCCATCTATGAGCTATATATAATTTTTACCGATCATTTAATATCTCAAAAATCTTTATTTCAAGTAAAAAAAAACAAATAATGATGGTCATAAATATTTCGAATATAATAAACAACAACAATAATAAATTTTAAGGCGTCTACTAGTACTTATTAATCCACAATTCATTGCTTTAATCTGTGTCATTAAAAATATGTCTTGTTCAAACTCGGAAAGAGCTTGAAAGGGTTCCACATTTATAACTTTTCTCTAAAAAACCAATTATTTTTTCATATTTATTACACTTATCCCTATATGTATATAATTTTATAAAAAGTACATGCTTATATATTTAACTTCATTAAATATGCAATTAGCTACAAGTGTAAATTTGTATTTTTAGAATTGTGCATGTTATTACTCCTTTGATGTAAAATGTATATATTCCATATCAGAGTTTATTAGCATTTCATATACTTGGTTAAATTTTTATGTTATAGTTTTTAAGTTCTGGCTAGAACTTTATACGATCTAAAGATATTTTTGGGAATTTTTTAATATATTTACATAAATCATCAACATCAAATTTTCTTTTATCACGCTCACTTGAAACTTCATTTGCAATTATTTCTCCCACACCATCTAAAACCTTCAATTCCCAAAGGTTTGCTGAATTAATATAAGGAAAGAAAATGCAAAGGGTTGTAAACCTTAATTGCGGCAAATTGTGCACAAGATGAGTACACATTCCATAAAATTTTACAAAGTTATCTTTGCTAACAACTAAACATTCTGGTTGCAAACTCTCCAAATTAATTGAACATACACAATTTGTCAGAATTTAGTAATAACCAATCTTTAATATAAATTCAACAAAACTCATAAAATTCATAAAATAAATTCAGAGTATATTAATTCATCACCTGAAAATTGGAGTCAAGATAGAAAAAATATATATTTAAAAAAAGAATTATAATTTATTTATTTTAATAATTAATCCACATTCAAATCAAACAATTCTTGAATATCTAAAAAATAAAATTAATGAATTTGGGCTTGAAGGGAAATTAATTTGTGGCATAACTGATAATGGAAGTAACATGAAAAAAGCATTTGAGTTGTGGGAAGAAGTTGAACGAATTCCATGCACTGCTCATGTACTTCAATTAACTATAAATAAAGCACTTGGATCAATCAAACCATATGTCAAAAGATTTAAAAAATTGGTTAAATTTTTCACATCATCTCCAAAACAAACTGAAAGGTTAAATAATGCCCAATTAGAAATTTCTGTCATCAACAAGATTTGGGTCAGAATAATTTAATACATTTTCAAAGTAATGATGATGGAAATGATAATGGTAATAACAATAATGATAATGGTAGTGATGATGATGATGATGATGATGATGATGATCAAAAAAACTAATTTAAACAATATAAACATATTAAGAAATGTGGCAGCTGTTAAAACAAGGTGGAATGCATCTTATAATTCATGGATTAGATTGTTGAAGTTGCAAAAGTCAATTGAATGGTTGGCAAATACTTTACCTTATGAGCCTGGAAAAGATTCTAAATCTGATGCTCATATGCTTAAATATTTATTATTGAAGAATTATGAATGGGAATTACTAGAAAAAATTTTGTTACTTCTTAAACCTTTTGAAGAGGCAACAACTTTTTTTCTGGTGCTTGATATCCCACTTTATCATTAATGTATCTAATTATACAAAAATTAAAAGTAAAGTTTGCATGTGGAGAAGAGCAGGATGATAAAGAATTTGATATAAGTGTGTATTTTTGATTATAATATGTTATAATAATTTCTAAATAATTTGTTTTTAGGTGATGATGATACCAGTGACAATGATGATGATGATGATGATGATGATGACAATAAGGTTTCCAGTCCAAACTGTTTTCTCAAAGCCCAAACTAATTTGGGCAATTTCGGCTTCCCAGTATTTTTTATAACATGAACATTAAAAAACTATACCAATCAACTTATTTTAACTTAAACAACTTTAAAGTAATTTCACCAAATTTCAGCTAATAACAAAAAATAGTTTGGGCTTATAAAAAAGTAATTTTTGCCCAAAGTGTTTCAGCAATAATGAACCATTAATTCATAAACATTTTACCTGATCATGAACTTCAATTCCACCAAGACCAAATCTTAACAATGTTGCATTAAATTTTCAGCAAAAAATTTATAATTTTCTATTTGATTATTGGGATAAACTTCAGATCTTAGTTTACTGGCAACTATATTGGATCCTCATTTGAAAAGATTGTCTTTATTTGATTACAACACTAAACAAAACACAATAGAAAAATTAAAAGAAATTTATCTACAATATGAGGAAAATGAAATTTCAGTAAATGAAAATTCTTCAAATTTGTCAGAAACATAAAGTTATTCATCTAATTTTTTTGAATCAATTTTGATATTGAATAAGATGATGAGATATCTGAAGTGGATAAATATTTGGATCTTCATTTAACTCCTTTGGCACATCAATCAGAAAATCCTTGGGCTTGGTGGGAAACAAGGAAAAATGAGTTTCCAATTCTTTCAAAAATATCCAAAAATATTTGTCAATACCAGCAACATCTGTACCTGCTGAAAGGCTTTTCAGTGATGCTGGTAATCAAATAAATCCCAAGTGTACATGTTTAGCATCTAAACTTGTTAATGAGCTTTTATTTTTGAAAAGAAATAATCTTTATTGTGAGATTGATTTTGACTAAATAAAATTTAGATTAAATGTCAATTAAATTCCTATCATAACCATCTACGAAATGTATAATAATAAAGTTCAACAGGCGTGTGATTATTTAGTAACGAACGGTTGAATTTACCAATTAAAATTTTTCACGTGACTAAATTAACCGGTTAAAGAACTTTTGCGCGGTACTCCTTCAGTCACTTCCCGTCGCCCTTCCTTCCTTCAAACGTCTTCACACATCCCCTGCCTTTTTCAACATCATGTTTGCATCTTTTATTTCGTTTTGAATTTCTTCAACAGTTGTCATTTTATAATTATATATAATTTTTGTTTGTTATTGATTTCTACGCATAATTTCGACCAATAATAAATTAGTGGGCACATGACTTGGATTTTTATTTATATTTTATTTTTTAACTTGATCCCTGTTCACTTTGTCTGATCTTGTTGCCTAAATTTTTAGAGGAATCTTATCGTGTTCTTAAATCACCATTGTCATCATCTGATGGTGGTGGTGGTACACTTGCAATTTGGGGTTATAGTTATAATACATAATTATTATTTCAGATATTCGTAATTATTCAAATACTTGTATTTATTTTGAATATTCATAATCATTTCAATAATTACAAATCCCTACACAATTGATTGCTGTAAACGCGTATCCTTTGTGTAACAGGTCAGTGGAATAATAATTAACCAGGACCTCGGACAATCATATTTGAACTGGTATGTAAGAAAACATAAAAAGTTGACAGAATATCTTACTAAAAATAGCTAGCGAGTTCCTTTTTGGGCCATTTTTTTAAAAACCCAATTTTTATTATGTAAATGCTTGAAGATCTGACTGGTGTTTTAACAAGATCGCTACCCACTTTTCTCAAATACCAGTTCAATTATAATTGTCCGAGGTCCTAATTAACCCTAAAAACTATTTTATTATTCAACAGCCAATCCTTACCAAATTTGGTCACGCGATTCATCTCTTTTTTGGTTTTGGTACCATTATATCGATTTATATTGTATGATATGCGTATTCTTTTCTCTTGTCTGTTCGTTTTTCTCTCGAGTAAAACGAGAACATTCGACCGATACCCTTTTGAACCCCTAATTCTTTTTGATCGTTGAAAAACGGCCGACCTTCTTTGATTTACCAACTTAATCATCATCAACGTTTTTCAAGTCTTTTCCTTTCTTTCGGTTCCAAGATTTGTTTGATTATTCATCTTCTTTTTCCATTATTTATCGTTTCTTGATGTCCTTTCGGTTTTATTGAAAAGAACCGCATGGTTCGTGGTAGGTTATTTGGTAGGTTTTTATGTTATTTTCATAATCCGAGAACATTTCCTGTTTTAATGATTCAAAATAATCATTTTTTCGTATCGTAAAATGCTATTGGACAATTATAACAAACTTACTCATAATGCAAAGATCCAATGAATAATCATAACAATAATTTGTTAAAAGTTAAAATTAATCGCAACACTAATAATAGCAATAATAAATGAAGACGTCATGATATAAATTTGCTTATTGAAGATGCCAAACACTCACTATAACTACTACTAGCAGCAATAAAAATAGTAATAATGAATAATAAAAGGCAAGAAATAATCATAAATACAAATTTTCAAAAGATTGTGTGGCGTAGAGGTTGGCACCGCGCAAAAATTCTTTAACCGGTTAACAGTGTGCCAACCCCTCGTGTGACGATTATCCATCCATCACTCTAGTTATTATTCTTCAAACGAAATAAAACAGCTTTTCACTTATGAATAAAAGGTTTAGAGAATTAAATTCTCTATATAACAATACATGTTTTAAACCTTTTAATATCGTATATTTAAGGTCCCAACGTTCCTAAAATCGTATTATAAATATTTGCTTTTAATTCATTACAATTTTTTAAAATTGCATTTAACATTTGTGAAATTTTATGACGACAAAGTAAAAATTGTTCTTTACTAGTACTATTGCTAATATAATAATGATGATGATAATAATAATAGTGATAATGATAAATAATAATAATATATTACTTTC